AACAACTCAAACCACACCTCATTCAAGAAGAACTTAGCAAATTTAAAAAATCTACTCGAACGGGTATGCATATCCGCTATACCACCTTGAAGCTCCCGAAAAAAGATCACCGGAAACGGCACACATCATTAAGTTGACATTAGTAGCTGTTCAATGAAGTAGGAAAAGAGAATCCATCTCGCTTACTTGTTTGTGGCAAAGGAAAAAGAAGTTTTTCCACCCATACAAAAATCCACAGATATGCAAATAGTACTTTGCCGGTTGTAGGAAATATTACGGGGCGTCAGTGGCCGCGGAAGCGGTATTTGGGGACATTACCATTGTAGGTTAGGGGAGGGAGGGGTTTATATAAGATGGGGAGATGATGGGGACATAGAACACCCCTGGGGACATTGTCCCTCTGTCCCCCCCACCCTTCCGCGGGCACTGCGACCCCCACTATTTATCTGCTGTATCTATCTCTCTCTTTTTCTTTGGAATGGCATCATTTCTTAAAACCAAAGGTATCTCATGCCATCTCCAAGCACGCGGACCGAGGAGGAAATCAACTACGCTGAAAGACGTTTTGGCACAAATTTCGCAATTTTAACGAGAAAATTTTCACATTTTTCTTCATACTATTGACTCATTGGCTATCCATCTTCTCTCCGGTATTTGGGAAAAGCGTCACATTAAGGCTGCTAGTGGCAATCCAAAAGTCAAACCCGTAATCCGCCGAGACATCGACAAAGTCGCTTTTTTTCCTTCATGCTCCAAATGCATGAGTAGAATCCAGCAGAGTTTTATGGAGGAGAATTATTTCCTCTTTTCCTCCTTAATTTACACCAGCAGATACTAAACCATCCAAATAACGGAGATCGGTACGATTTAATGTTGTTGTTTGAGCTCATGTGTGTATGTGTAAGTGGATGTACATGCTTGTTTGTTGTGGTGAGAGAACAAGTACAAGTAAAACAAGGCTTGTTTCATCTTTGGGTTCCACATATATTTAGCGTGGTGTGTGAGAATTTGCAGTGTTTCGGTTCGGGTGGGTTTTGCTACATTTCTTGCAATGCAAAGGAAGAAGTGCAAGAAATGCGAGGTGCCAGAAACTGGGGGAAAGTGCAAAAAATATGTACCATCTAGTCACGTGCTTTATGAAGTATAGCGACGCGGCGTATTTTTTGCGCCTTGTTTTTTTTGCATGCCAAACCGCTCCAAGAAACCACTTTCTACCGGGTTTGCTACATTTCTTGCACTGCAAAAGCAAACCACGCAAGAAACGTAAGATGCAAGAAACTGGGAGAAATATGCGCATCAAGCCACGTGCTTTATGAAATATAGCGCCCGGGCGTCGTTTCTTGCCCCTTGCATTTCTCCCAGGTCAAAATATTTCCCTTTAAAAACCACTTTCTCCCCCTTATTTCTTGCACATGTTTAACCCTTGCACCCGCCACACTGCTTGCCATATACATATGCAGACGACACAGGACAGCATATTTGTCAAGAACATACCAACCCAACTGAACCAGGATGGCAAAGTGGAGTAAAAGAGTATGTATTGCGTCACTAGAAAAAGATTGAATGCCATTATACGCCATGTGTAAAGGACGTACGTAAGATAGTAAATTAACTTTGTACATATGCACACACATAGAAAGTCCGTATATCATCCCGCCCGATGTGATTTTATTATGGGATCAGTACCGGTCGTAGTAAAACCAGTGGGTCTGATTGTTAGACAATTTAGCAATTTGTTTTTTATATTTGGCTTTCGAGCATATTTTGACTCGTGTGGTGGTACGAACATGGTTTTTCATTGTAGACACGAAATAATAATAGCACCGAAAACAGATTTCTCAACTAACGATTTTTTTAATCCGAGTCAGACTTGTAAATGTGCAGAGGCAGCATTTAATAAAACTCCGTCGTCTCGGTTTACTCAGTTGAGACTCATTAAATCCACACAAAGAATTGTTTCACTCCTATTCCAATCGGATTTCACGCGTTTGCACCTCCATTTCCTGAAATAAGCAGGGACCGAATGCAAGAAGTGATGATAAATTTGGACCAACTGAGTAAAAACAACTGAGTAAATCATACCTAGTACATGCTTACATTTTGTCACCAACCATTGGTTGATTTACTCTCAACAGTCATTCCGTGTTATCATCTACATTAAAAATTAAATGATGGTTGGGGGGAAGAAGTGGCCGCGGAAGGTGTGGGGACATCGGGGGACATTAACATTGTCGGATAGGGGAGGGAGGGGTTGGGGTATCGAATAACCGTGGGGATATTGCCCCTCTGTCCGCGGCCACTGTATGAATTTATGTGTCTCTGTGTGTGCAATAAATGGCCGCGGAAGCTGTGGGGACATCTGAGGACATTAACATTATAGTATAGAGGAGGTAGGGGTATATATAAAATGGGAAGATCATGGGGACATTAAATAACCGTGGGGACATTATCCCTCTGTCCCCACCCTTCCGCGGCCACTGTAAGAAATACACACTCCACCGTTATTATCTTTACTCATTAAAGAATTTTTCACATGCCAAAATTCCTCCCGATTTTTTTCCTCGGTCCCGAATTTGGGCCCGATCACTTATTTGTACAGTCACGGAGTTGGGTTTAATGAAAAAGTGGAAAAATGATGATTTTTGATATGGTGTCATGTGTCGCATTTCTCACACCCCTTTTTGACTCCGTAATTTTTTACGAAATCCCACACACAGCAGGGAAGACTGAGTGAGTGCAAGTGTGCACTCATTATTATTACGACTGCCACACCTCTCCGTGCCCTCTCGTCCGACGGAAATTAAGAAGCCGAAAAATGTGCTCATTAATTTTGATACTTTTTTTACTTCACATCTTCCACGAGGGTATGAAAAAAGTCTAGCTGAATTGATTTCTAGCAAAAAAATAAACTGTGCTCAATACGAGGTCTAATTGCTTATCTCAAAATGAAAGAAGGGGCTGATTTATTTACATCCATACACAAATTTAGATTTCTGCTCGATTTATTCACAACCGACGACACGGTGTTTGTGTGTGAAAAGGTGGAAGAGGTTGCCATTTGCTAATATAAAAAGAAACACAGGGCAGCCTTCTTTAGCCCGAGTCAGGTTGTTATCAATAATAATTTGACCAATTTTTTTTCGACATATTTTGCTCATGATTTGATTCCAAATTTGCACATTTTACTACGTGTATCCATAATTTCAAGTCGATTGGATAAGTTTTGCGTGCGTAATCGATAGATAAACAGACAGACAGAAAATCATGACGGGTACATAAGCCCTGACTCGGACTAAAACGTCAGCATTTTTCGTATGATATCACCCCTACAATTTTTGTTGTTCCATACATTTTCCTCATCTTCCAACTTGGTTCCTAATTTTGCATATTTTGCTACCTATGTGCAAAATTTCAATTCGATTGGATAAGTCTTACGTGCGTGAGAAATAGATGAACAGACAGACAACCATGCCAGCTACATAAACCCTGACTCGGTCTCTACCTAAAAGCCCCCATTTTTCCACCAATAATGCCAGCCATTACTTTATTACCTAAACGTTCACTCCACAAGCAAGTGATTGCATATTCATGAGAAAATATTTATTTGACTCGTACAACAAAATATGAATGGAAAGAATCAATACGTTCATACCGCTGAATAAAGTCGAGTTACAGCTTTACAAAAAATATGCATACTTAACTTATGACTTGACTAAACTCGCCTCATTTATTCGTTAATCCTTCCCTTCTTTCTCACTTAACAAAAGAAAAACAATACAAAAAATACAGCCCATGCTGAATTTGGGCTGAAGAGGGAGAAACTAAAATTACAATAATTTAAGATTTAAGTGTGAAGAAATCCAAAAATTTTCCATTTCCATACGTATTGAAATCTGTGGTTTGAAAGTCATTAGAAAAGGCGCAACAAAAGAATAATGAGTTTTAAGGTGAAACAACAAAATAAATACGTTCATAAGCTCGGCTTAAGGTTTGTTCGTTTCGTTGTAAAAGTTGCTAAATATTTGTAAAGTGAATACTAACATGCCTGCTTTTCTGCACTTATTATTACAAAAAATCATGCATACCTACTACTTGGCAGGGTATGTATATCTACTAAAAATCGAATTTAAATTCACTCATTAACATTCAGGTGGATGTATTTCATGCTGAATTTACACAACGTGTGTGTACCTACGAAAAATATTCAGTGGCTGCGGAAGCCGTGGGGACATGTGGGGACATTGCCATTGTAGGCTGGGGGAGGGATTTACTGATATATAAGATGGGGACATCGAATAACCGTGGGGACATTGTCCCTTTGTCCCCACGCCTCCGCGGCCGGTGATTTCTTATTACATGAATGTATGTACGTACAGTGGCCGCGGAAGCAGTGGGGACATCTGGGGACATTGTCATTGTAGGATAGGGGAGGGAGGGGTTTATATAAGATGGGGACATCGAATAACCGTGGGGACATTGTCCCTCTGTCCTGTCCCCACCCTCCCGCGGCCACTGTCCCCTCCTCTCTCAATATTTCTCACCAAGAAACAAGCAAAGCCAGGTTATGCACAAGTTTCCAACCAAATTTTAAATAATTCACTACCCAGCTAGCTTTTGTTCTTTCCGTTTATCTCCGTATTAACACTTGTTACACTCGAATAAAGGTTGAACATCAACATAATAACGCTTAAAGATTTTTTAAGTCATACATAATAACTTTCATTTGATTTAAGTATGAGCAAGTCATAACTTTGGCAAATTTTAAATTTTAAATACTCCTTATTATCTTTTTGTATATACGATGAGTAATAACTAATTCCACAATTTTCTAAGATTTGGATTTGCCTAATTGTTTCAAATAAGTGAGGCTTTCGTTAGTCCCAAGCGAAAAGATTAAGATTTTTTTAACTACTGGCAATTTTGCAAAAGTGAATTCTTTCTTAGAATATTTTGTCCTAAGAATTATAATTTTCTTCATAATAAGAATTTCTCTTACTTACCGCTCTTTCTGTTTTGTAAATGTTAATTGTCCTTAATTCGGAATCGCATGCTGGGTTTTCCTGTAATTATTAAACACACAATAATTAGTGACCAGGCAAACATTGGTTCAGTCATTTTGCTTATTTTTCATATGTATGCTTCTGTCTCGTACAAACACTGGAAGCAAACTTTTTTTGTTCATATCTGCCATTTCATCTCGTGAGATAAGAAGGAAAGGAGGAGAAATAAACAAGATTTTTTCCCCAGATTTGCCACATTTATTACGTGCAAATTAGAAATTATTAACAAGCCTTAATTAATACGAGGAGATGTTTCATTCTTCAGGGTAGAATGTACTTAAAGCGCTTATCTTTTCCCATTAACTCACCATAAAATTAGTGGAGAATAATTTAATTGCAGGGGTTCAGGACGTTAAATGCTTTACTACAAAGTGTGGTGGGAAAACTTCTTCATTCTTGCATATTATTTTGCCTCCGCAAAGTGAGCATGTTTTTTTTATTCGCTTCTTATCAATCCTTTCATCGTAAAATTCTCTGAACAAACAAGACGGGACAACTTTACTGAAGTAAGGAAACGACCAACCCGAGTGAATATGTAGTGTTTATAAATTCATCCAATTTACTAAAATGTGTGCATGTAGAAGATTGCCGAAATTGTGGTGGGCTTATGTACAATTATTGATTAATATTCTCCCCGCATTCTTATTAAATTCATAATTGCCTATCTTGAATATCAAGTGATAACCCAGCAAAAGAGAGAGAAGAAACGGCCTTAATTGTATCACATTGTTTTCACATCGTCACCCCTTATCATAATCCATTCGTTTTTTGTTTGACACTAAAAAACAAAACGATTTAAGAATCAAGTCAACCTTATACAAACTTTAATCCAGCTTAAAAGCCGTAAAAGAGAGAATGGAATGGAGACATTTTCAACGTATAAAAAACTGCGATTCTTGCTAAAATTCAAGTTTTATACACAGCATTTTGTTTGCGTAACCACGTTCTGTTAAAGTTAAAGCAAATCTGATCTTTATTCGTGACTTGTCATCTCCACTTGTTATCAAGCACGCCTCTCGAAAAAAAAAACTTTTAGGGGCTCAGATCTTTTTAAGCCTTTTTCTCACGAATGGTCTGGTCATCATCTGTTATGCGTGCAAGCAAGGCCGATTGGATACAAAGGTTGGCTTCGTATGAATTTCCAGAAGTGTGGAAATAATTGATAATTGATAATAATTGTTTTCTCCAAACTGTTTTTTACGGTTTATCAAACTAAAGTCATGCATATGTATGCATAGCTTTTTAGGCGGAGAAAAAGGCGTAATTTTTTAACTCTGTCTCATCCAGTTTTAATTTCCGTTTCGTTTAATAAGTAATCCCAGAAACAGAGAAGAGAAGATCAACATGTGTCACGCATTAAATGAAGTCAGTGAGGTATTGTATGTATATTTATTATTATTACTACGCTGGGACTCTTGTATGCACAATATACTTATTTTTATATGCTGGCTGATGACTCCGGTGGTAATTTAATAGTGCGATCTAAATGGTGATGGTTGCCGAGAAAATGTGTCCAATGGGGCAGCCAAGACAATAAAATTCTCAATTATAGGAAAACATCTGTTGTTGTTAGTAGATATTATTATAGCAATTCTCGTCTTACTTACTGATAAATAAGGGTATACGATATTACAGTCAGAGGTTTGTGGGGAAAGAAAGGTTAGTTTTTTACTTTACATTTAACTTCCCATCTTCATTTTGATTAGAGAAAAAGAAGAAGACTTTGGTCCGGTGTTGTCCAAGGGTATATAATTTACTCGCTGGTCTAATTCGTCTCTGTCTTTCCAATTTTTGGTAAAATTTGAAATAATTTCTTCCAATCCTATGATTATAATGGGGGAAGGAGGATAGAATTAGAACTGGCTGGCTGGCATTTTGAGGGAGAAGAGAGAATGTAATATTACCTAAAAACCTAAACAAGTTATCATTACAAGACATCTCTTCTCTCTCAATTCGACGAGTAGTAGACTTGAGACGAGAAGAGCACTCTTCAAGAAGAAGAATGATAAGAAAGGAAAAAGAGCTTTGTCTGTTTCTGTAAATGTAGAATTATTTTGGTAATCGAAATTAAGGGAAAAGAAGTTGAACTGAACCCGTTTTTACTTATTTTCAAGACTTTTGAGTCGTCTAACTCAGCAGAATTGTATTCCTTCTCGAGATCGGAATTAGAATTCAAGAGGAGGGATTGACTTAAATTGCTTGCCGAGTGGTACGTAGTAAGTAGTGAAAGGGTCAAAATTAAGCCACGTAGACAGAAATTGGAGATGAGGTCATTCAAGCGCTTGATATATTTTTTAATCAGAAACTTGGGATCTCTTCTTCTTTCGTAATTTGTCTCCCTCACTCACTCAACCCTTTCAACTTATTTTTTTAAGGAGCTGTGATTTTTATTTCTTGTATTTCATCCAGTTTTTCAAGTGGTTTAGAAATAAATAAAAATAGAATTTTGATTCAAGACTAACCTGACTTTAAAAGATTACATAACCTGATATTTTTTGGAGATTTTCTTATTTAATATTCTACTCACAAATCATCAAATGCACAAAATGTCACGTCAAACTTGAGACAAAATGATATTTCAACAATTTCTCTGTATTGATCGTATCGCTTATTCTGTCTGCTTTTCAAATTTGGCTTTATTAAATTCCCTTTTTGAACTAGAATCCATTTTCTTAATGGATTATAAACAGTGGCCGTGGAAGGACAGAGGGACAATGTCCCCACGGTTATTCGATGTCCGCATCATCTCCCCATCTTATATAAACCCGTCCCTCCCCCATCCTACAATGGCAATGTCCCCAGATGTCCCCACAGCTTCCGCGGTCACTGCACACAAACACTGCTTATTCACACGTGTATTTATGTATGGTGGCCTTCAACATTTTTTAGAAATGGGGCGAGGAACAAGCTACACACATTTTTTGAAGGGTGGCAATACAGCCATCATCATGAATGACCATTCTGTGCATATCGTCGGCCGGCATCACAAAAATGGGAGCATAATCAGATTCAAAAAGGGTTGATCTGATTCTTCCCTTGCAAGAAAATATTCCACATAATTGCCCCATGTGCACCCAGTATTTAACACTAATAGTGATGTATGTAAGTGTAATTTCACATGTTCATCGCCCAGTTATGTAAGAGTCACACCATGTGATTAAACAAGTGGATGTCTAATTATCAATAAAATGCGAAAGATCAAATTTCTACAATTTTGAAAGTATCTAGCTCGTAATATTTAATAATAATACGAACCAAGGATAAGAAAATATATGTATATACTGAAAAATAATGCACTTAAATTCAACTAATCCCACATTTCGCCGAGAGGTTACATATCCCATCAATATTCAATACGTCGTAATATCAATATCAAATCGAATCAAGGTGAAGAGGCGATAAATCAGCATTTTTCAACATTTTACAATTTATACAACGCTGACAATGGAGGTCTCCCAGCGGATGCTCCCAGATTTTGTGCAAATTAGTGTTATTCGATCACAAATTAATTAGGATGAAATTTACAAAAGACACGATCTCCCAATGGGCACGTTTGGCGCAGATATTTGCATCCGAAGAGGAGAAAACGCGTCTCAAAGTCGACAAATTTTACACTTTCCAAATTTACTGCGCGTTTTCTCCTGTTCGGATGCAAATATCTCTGCCAAACGTGCCCATTGGGAGATCGTGTCTTTCGCAAATTTCATCCTAATTAAATTTGCCATCGATTGACACTAATTTCCCCAAAATCTGAGCGCATCCGCTGGGAGACCTCCCTTCTTAGTGAGAGGCCAGTCAGTAGTCAGTACTTGAGTGAGATGCGGAGTGGATTACGTAAAGCGTACGTATTTATTCCTCGAGTGTAGATATCTTTGGGCAAAATGATCAAGTTTTCCTTATAAAATGTTTAAATGCTCTTAAGTAAAATCTTGGTTTGGTGGATGTAAGGAGCAGAAAAGGGCCGAAAGGGCAGACCAGTCACTCTCGCTCGGTAGCCAGCAACTTGACCAATTACACCTTCATAATAACAACACACTCGAGCATATTAACCAACTCGAGACAAATGCTAATCTCCTCACAGAGATTCTAGATTGAGAGACTCGACAATAATAATTTCATTCACAGAAGGAAAGCACCAATTAAGATTTTGCAGAGATAAAGGTTTAATTTTTAAATGGCTCTTGGTGGTTGCATTTTATGCTACAAAATCTGAATAAAGTCTGTCTGGCTGCAGTTTTTTTATGTATTGTTGTGTGTGATTGTCCCATGCAAAATGTGGGCTTTGATGGTTAATTTGTTTACGAAATATTATACAAAATATTGGTGTAATTATGTATACGTGAAGAAAAAAATTAGTGATTTCTTCTTTATGAATCAGAGGACGGATATGTATTTATTTTCAAGTTTTTCATTTGATGATGACCGATGGTCAAACTTTGTGGGTATGTCCTCTAACTCGAATTGATCGCATATATTCCCACTATTATTCGAAAATACGTAAATATTTTACATATTTTTTCAAAAAAGTACGTATATTTTTAAATATTTTAACCACATGAGACGAAATATTTAGCTACCTAAATAGGATCACAAAAAAAATCCAGGAAATATTTAGATACTTTGTAAAAATTCTTATTTTTATATTTTTTTCGTACATATTTCGTAAGTATTTTGACATGTTTTCCTAAATATTAAATACATAATTCATCGATTTTTCGTAAATATATATCCGCCCTCTGGTCATATACCAGTTACCATTCATCCAAGAATTAGAGCAACTAAATATATGTCGTATTTACTTATTGTCTGATAACTGAGACTGGCAGGAGCAAGTTTTTACGTAAAAATAATAATGCCGTCTCAGAATAATGAGGTGGGTTAAAATTCGACCATTATATAAACAACGTCTTTATTTTGCTACTGCAAGCAGCCAAGTGATTAACAGAAATGGCAATAATTGTCAATCCCGTTCTCATCTCGCTTGAATTGTCACTCTTTCC